TGCATAAGAGGGTCCAACATTACTACTATCAAGCGCGGTTAGTAGTACGCGCCCGTATTATCTGCTTCCCTTATTCCGTATGGTGCTGCCGTATCGTCCCCAGAAAACCTTATATTCTTTGGACTTAACTGGGCGGTAAGCACCGGGGCTGGTCCGTTGCGACGACCTGTATGCAGTCTGGGGGTTTCCCGAAATTAGTGTACTTTTAAAGGGGTTATATAGGGTTATATGAGGGTATATAGGATTCGGGATAAGGGCTCGGGGTTTCCCTAAATGAGGGGCTACATTTTTGGTGGATTTTGGGTGTCGCTGTAATCAATATTACAGTAGTTTGGGATCTATATCCCCTATTTACAGAAACTACCATTTGGAGGCCTTTACTGTCGATTATTCCATTACGGTGGGGGTGGTTCGACCCACCAAGCTGCTGGAGTTATTTTTGGAACCCAGGGGTCAAGCAATGTAAGAGGTCCTTCCCTGTAAAGGAACCCCGAATTATTTTGAGGGGTCCTCCTATTTAGGGAAGCTACCACGTTGCAAGCTCTGAGCCAGTCGAGCCTGTATGAGGCCACTATCGGCGTCTTTGGGCTTGACAAGCAAACGGGTGCTGCCCGGGCCCTGATTCACCGCAACATTTCTAAATCATGGAGCTCCACGCCGCATGTTCGGCGCACCCTGAACCCCGAACCGTAAATAGTAGTTTCCATTTTGTTTTCCATTCGCCTTATATAACTCTGTATTATACCCCCATACTATACCCTAAAACCACCATTTAGCTTCTTTGGGGAGACTGGGAGCTGCAGAGTTGAAGAGCTGGAAAGGTTGTTGTCTGAGGAAATACAGTGAGCCAAGAAGCACTCAAACACCAGGGTGCTGAAGCTGGTAAACCTTGAGCCCCATCCAGGCATGTCTTCTAACCTCTGCAGAATATGCTAGTTTCTCCTGTTCTGAGCCTCAGTGCCGTAGATCAAGTCATTCAGCTCAATGCATTACAATCTGACAAGAAGCAGTCTGAGCTCTGCCAATGCCCTGGAGATGCCGTGACAAAATGTGGAGGAGGAACTGTTACTCATGGATTGGTGTCATGATTTGAATCTGGACAGTGCTACCAGTAGCCAGTCGTACGGAAGATCCCTATTCTACTCCTTCAGGTCCCCAAGTTACCTCCGCACATACAATGACTCATGCAGGTAAGCTGCCGTCGCTCGCTCTACGATCCCAATGAGGGACGGCCCATGAAGGCGCCAGCCAAAACTTCAAGAATGACTGCCACTACTCTCACAGATATTATCAAGCTGTTTCATCAGTTCTCTCAGTTCTTCTGGTCGTTGCAACCTTGCTCTTCATTGCACTTCTCCTTCCCATCTTCTTGGGTTGCTCAGTCCATCCAGTCTTCATGGCTTCTTGTCACAGTCTTGCTTTTGCTAATACTTCTTCTGCAAGTAAGAGGATGCTTCTTTATTGTCTTTGAAGTACAGACAGACATGATAAGTACAAAATCGGCCAGTTGTGGAGTGAACGTTTGGTTTGGGACCTACCTGCCAAGGCCCGCCACGATGCCCATGTGAACCATTCGGAGAATGATCCGAATGCTCAGCAGGAGTCGGAAGCTCTGACGGACATGAGGTGATGTAAGACAATCTGTTAATGCGCGATAACTGCTAGACAGCTGAAAATTTAGGACGGCTTGGCACAACAACTGGAGATCGGGAATCGTTTGCCCATACCGGACCCAGCTTGCACTTTTGTACGGATCTTTTTGCCTCTCGTGCTTTGCAGCTGTAGCTTGAGCAACTGTGTTTCTGAGTGGCAAAGGCGTCAGGCAGATCCGCACTCACATGCGGTGATTCTCGATCCCTTCTATGGCCTGCGACTCAGCCTAGCCTGCCATCGGGTCGGCTTTAACCCCTATATAACTGAGTAGTATGTTATTTGGGGATACTATGGTACCCAATATAGAGTAAGATTCTATCCTCCTTTTCGGGTTTAGTATTTTATATGAGGAATATTATCTTACTAGGTTCAACCACCAAAGAAACCGCTACTCAACTGAGGCAGGATTGCCTATGTGCCAGACCTCGGCCAGCCCTCCTGGATTTGGGCGACAGCAGGGTTTGAATGGGACTTGTAACTGGAGTCCTCTCTCCATAGGAGTTGTATATGGATAATGGAAAATAAAATGGAAACTACTATAGTATAATAGGGTATATATTGGGGCATAAGGTTTGAGGAAAAGCATCTTCACCAAAGAATCAAGTTTCTGCACCAAGAAATTGGGTGCTAGGAGGCGACGGGAGGGGGGATTGAAAGGGTGAAGGGATGGCGTAGGATTGCTGGCGGGGGATTTGCTACGGTCAACGGACGCGGACTTTTGACTAGAAGGATCCTTTTGTTGAGAGCCGCAGACATCGTGGAGCCTCACACCCCAGCACACGCGCTTCAGCTGCTTCAGTTGGCCAGGCATGGACCTCATCCGGCAGTTCTACTACGACCCAGAGGCTTGGACTACCCTTCCGTCAGAAAGGGCCCTTCATGCCCAGAGCCCAACCCGGAAGCAACCCTGGGTAAATGCGGTCGCGCAAGACTCAGACACTGACAAGACAAATAGCCGTTGGCAGTGGCATCCCTCACCTTTATCACCACGCCCATGAACGCAAAACTGACCATGGAGGAAAGCTCGCGCCACTCTGTATCCCTAGATTCCTGTGTCGCATATGCTTCCGCTTGCAGACGGTAGTGAAGGATGCCTTCCATCAAATGTACATTCCTGGGCAGTATGCCATCGCTTGATATCACTTGCATTTGAATGCTCCTGAGTATGGTTGCTGTCGATAGCCTTGGTCTTGTCGACTGGTATCTGTCCGCATGAGTGTTTACAGAAGTCTTGCAATGACGACGATGCCGCTTCTATCGCAATTCTCGAAATTTCCGCGCTCAGGCCCCCATTACAAGGTCCCGCGCCTCCTGGTTTCAGAAATGCCTTGTAATCTCCTTCCAATCACGAGGCTGGGGAGCTCACTGCTGTGGGCACCATGTCTTCAGGGCCGCCAGGCCGTGCTGAGTTCTGTAAGTCTTGAAGGTTATCAGCTTTGCTAGTAGTTTAAGGTTTTAGCTTGTTTTGCCCGTATTAGGGACGGGATATTGTTATTGCAGCTAGAAAATCGCCTAGAGTTTGCCGGCACAGCACCTGCATGTGTGAGGTTCTTGCAGGAGCCCTTTCAACCTATGCACAAGCCCCAAGTGTCGAATCCGCAGCTGTTTTCAAACAGGTAGTTTGTTCATCGATTTTATAGATAGTTTTGTCTGGCCTCATGACAGCCCAGAAGGAGCCGGAGCCCGAGAACAGCTTGGGCTCCAAGCTGCTGACCGGCTTCCTCACGGCCAGCCCCATAACGCTGATCAGCCTGGCTTCCTGCGTCTCCTACGCCCACCTCATGGAGCTCCGGGTTCAGGGTTTGCAGGGACTTGGGCTTCTTGATCAGTTTGGAGTTTGTAGTTCATCAGATTTTGGATTTTCGCAGTGGTGCGCTTAAGAGGTATAGGCATAGGAGCCATCAGGAGCCCATCATGTTCCACCGCGCCCCGCAGCTGTCGGTGTCCTTCCTATCCTCCGCGAGCATCTTCTCAGCAGGATTCGCAAATCTGAGCCTGGGGGAGGAATGAGAGCAGTTTCTTTTGATGTGTTAGCTTTATAGGATTGCTGGCTGCTGTTGCTGGATAAAAGGTACCGCTAGAAGCGAGTCCTGAGGATCCATAATCTCATGTCGCACTGCCCCTTCCTCATCACTTGCCCGGACATCACCTTCACACTCTTCCTGCAGGCAGGGAGCCTTTGACAAGACTGCTCAAAAGCCAAAGATCATTCGTTGTTTTGGAGGCTGGGCAACGCTCGCTCTCGCGTCATGTTGGTGAGAGCCAGGCCAGAACCCTGAACCTGCCTGTCTTAGAGAGACTGTAACTGTAATGTAACTGTTGAGTCACAAGAGCCTAAACTCAAAGGTTGCCGCAGACCTCAGAGCTGCAGAACCTAGTGCTAGTCATGACTACTAATGGCTCCTCAAGCTGTAAGCGCCAGACATCCTGAATTGCGGAGACTACGGTGAAGCAGTCCATCACCTGTGTGCATTCAGTTGCAGTAATGGTGAAGGCCCCGTGATTTGTTATGATCACTGTACTTATTGCTCAGGGGTAACCTTTCATTGTACTGTCATTTGTTGTTGCATCTTCCTGTTGCTGTCAGTTTGTTTGCTATCAGAGCCAGTAGAACTATCATCTGCACTTAGAAGCATCACGCGTGCTGCAGTCCTGCGTGTCTCTACCGAGGAATTGGAACATGGTAGTTTCCCGAAATAGGGGGACCCCAAAGTAGACCCCCTAATACTATAGTCCTTATTATGGGGACCCCCAAAATGGTACCCCTAATTCTGGGAAACCCCCACATGACACACAATTGCCTGATCTTCCCACCAAGCACCAGGCTACGGCCTTCGTGGCCCTACACGTGGACGCCTTGCTCCTGGGCCTGCTCTTCTTCCTGCTTGGGAAGCTGCGCAGCCTGGCTTTGGTTGTAACGTACTTAACAGACTGTAATATGCTATAATGTACCTAAAATATACCATAATACGCCTAAAATACTTGAATAATATACTGTAATATAGTACTGCTACAAGAGCATCAACTGGCATCAACAGGGGTGGTTGTGGTGGTTGTGGTGTTGGTGGTGGTTCCGGTTGCGCTGGAGTGTGGGTTTTCCTGCTGCTCCGAAGCGCACTTCAGGGAGCAGCATGGCTAAGTGATGACAGAATCTGAGAAGGAGAGACGGGCATTCTATAACATGGACACGCAATGTGTTACCTCTCTCTTTCTTGATTCTTTGCTTGTGACTGGCCTCAGGTATCATGGCAGCCCTCCGCTACCTTCCCTACCCGGTAGTGGCCGGCTTCCTGGCCATGATCGGCGCGGCTGTGATCATGGGGGCCTTCAAGCAACTTTGCCTCAACACAATTGGCAACGGTAGCGTTGCTGGTGCTGGGGCTGGTGGTGCCGCTACTGCTGCTGCTGCTGCTGCTGCTGCTGCTGCCAGTGCTTGTGCTTGTTTTGGTCGGTGGTTTGTGTGCCCTTGGTGGCAAATACAAGGGTGAAGACATATGAAGACCAACATGACGTTGTCGGAAATCTTGGAACCAGCTGGCAGCAAGCGGAAATAGAGATGCTGCAATGCCAAGAGCAGTGGAAGCACGCGCGTTTCAGGACTCTAATACTTCATTATGCTCCGAGCACTTAGAGGCCCCTTAGAGCTGCCTGACCCTCAGGATTCTCCTGGGCGATCCGGAGAACGAATCCCGGCACCTGGCAACAATGATCCTCTATGGCCGTTGAACAAAATGTGGTTGTTTGGGTTCCCTGCCCCTACAACCCTGTGCAAGCTCATTGTAAGCCCAATAACATTCATGGACCAAGGATAGCCATCCTGTTTGCAAGCACCGTGCTCGGCCTGAAGCAGCACCTGGGCTTGTCCTCCACGTTTCAATGTGTGTAGGACTTTGAATGTTGATTAGGGCAAGGTTCCATGGGAAAGGTTAATCGTGGGCTTCTGGAGAGAGCTTGTCATACTAACATTGGATCTCAGCATGTGGGGTCGTCCACGGATCTGAGATAAATGCAGATGCGCCTGTTTTGCCGGAGAATGGCAAATCTTTCAACCATAAACCAATTCAAGCTTGGAGGGGTTGAGTTGCCAACCCGCGGCCCAGGTATGGGATAAGGACCAGCGTCAGCGCACCTGGCCTCATCATCACGCGTGGGCCTCTGCGGGCGTTTGGGGTTTTGTGGGTTGTGCAGTTTTCTCTACATGGCAGCCAAAATACGAGGCTTCCAGCTAAGCCTGTGGCTTTAGTGTTCATGCGGATTTTGGGTGTGCGGGCTTGAATTGAAGTTGAATCTTAACGAAGTCTTGATGCTTGGGGTGCAGCTGAATTCTAGGGTGTCGAGTCTGGGCATTCAAGCGCGGGCCGACATTGGGCTCCGTTGCTGAACAGATGGGCCATAGACAGTGACTTGTTGGTGGTGCGCGCACTTTCGCTTGGTGCGAGGCCACACGATGTGTCATTCTTTATTGTCTGGACGAATAGTCGTTAAAAACCGGCAAACAAATACAGCAACGGGGGTGTTTTTGTTGTTTATACACGCTGAGACATTGCTCTAAGCCATTGTCCATTCTCTCATGTTTCCTGCAATGAGCATACTTCACTGTACACACTGTCCAGTCAGAAGTTTCTGCGTGAAGCCCTTCCTAGGCCTTCCCTTGGAAGTACTACCCTTGGGCCTTCATCGTGCCACACTTGATAGATCTTGGGGTCTGAATCACATTGCTAAGCTACCAGATCATATTCTCGATCCTTGCAGCTCGGAAGCAAACACATTTGAGTGCTCTCTACTCGTACCTGTCCTAAGGGTTCTTCTGGGTGGCGAGGGCCTCAGCTAGGGAGGAAACTATTCTCGGTGACAGGAGCCCTCGTACTTGCCACATTATGCGCCCCTCTCTGCAACGCTTGCCCTGAAAGAAGCCAGTGCTGACAAAGAGGCTGCTGGTGAGCTTCTACACCTGGGCTGGCATGACGCTGGGCTGGAGCTCTAGGCCAAGGTTTACGGCTGGCTTAGGAAGTTGAAGCCTACTCCAGTCTACTTGAGAGAGTGAACGTGCTTGTATCGGGTTTGAGCACCTCACCAAGGCAAAGTTGAGAATTACACGTTTGGAAATCTCGCCAATTCAAGATGACAGTTGGTTGCCCCGCAACATCCTTGATTCCCTAAGTGCCCCTTCTATCCTCAGCCTCCCAACAACCCCAAGGACCCCAAGCCCCATGCGGCCAGGGACTGCGTTGCTAGTCCTTGGCCTTATGGAGGTCCAAATTGTAGCTGCATGCCATGCACACAGGTTGATGATGGGCCCTGAACCTTTGACACAACCATAGCCTTGAGTCTGTACATGAGAGCAGGGGACATTCAAGCCTTACTGGTATCAATGAACGTCCCGCCTGAGATTGCGCAAATTTGTCATTCTTCCGTTGATCTAAACAGCCTGGCCTATCTTGCCAGCAGCTGTTTAGGACACCATGCAAGCCATGTGAGAGACATTCATTCATTGTAGGCATGAGAGCAGCCACTGGCCCTTGGACTCAGTCCCACAAGTCTCTTCCATGTACTCCGTATATACCCGGAACGCAACAACTTGTGTAATTGGTGGGGTTAAAAGAAAGCCCATATTGAGCAGGATGATTAAAACACACCCCTTGGCCGGACGAACATAAGCCGGTAAAAGCAGAGCCACGACCTCAGCAGCGCATGGTTGTTTTGTGGTTATTGTTTTGCTGTGCAAACTATTATATACTTGATCCGATCAGAGCAGATGTTGGGAATCCAATCTTGCCGATGGGTTTCGGCTGCTGCACAGTTTGCTTAGACCACCTCGGCCAACCCAGAGGTTGGATTTCCAGGGTACACCCATACCAACGCACCGTACTTTAAACCCCAAAATTTGTGTCCTTTTGGGGGCTCTTTTGGCTTGGTACCCTATAACCCTAAAGACCTAAAATTCTAAAGCCTTAAAGACCTAAAACTCCTAAAGACCTAAACCCTTAGCCGAGGACAGGCCGCTCGCGCCTGGATCTGTCGAAGCTGGGTTGGCTCTCGCCTCCGAGCTCCAACTCGGAGCCTCCTGCGGCGGGGATGCAAAGAGGGTGCTTCTCTTCTTTTCCATTATTCAAAAATAACCCCAATATATACCCGATAGTAGTTTCCATTACTATAGTAGTTTTTAATACCTGCTCCAGACGGTTAAGGGTTTAGGGTTTAGAGTCTCCAGACGGTAGTGGTTTCCATCTTCTTTTCCATCATCCCGATATAACCCCAACATATACCCTATAGCCTATAGTAGTTTCCATTTTCTTTTCCATTATCTCAATATAACCCCAATGTACTATAGTAACTATAGTAGTTTTTAATACGTATATAACCCCTAATATATAGAGCCATCGAAATTGATTGTTATAGGGCCCCCAAAGCTACTCTACCAGAGGGGTTTCAGGGCTTAGAAAGTATGGTGTTGGGAGTATAGGGTTGTTGCTTTGTAGGGTTGAGGGCTATACAAAGGGTTGTCAGCTTCATAGGCAGCTCCCCTCAAGGCAAGCTTGAGCTTGAAGCATCACGATTGGGCTGTCCAAGCGAAGACGGGCGAGTAGACAACTAATGGAAGATCACATGAACAAATCGCAATTGAAAGGAAGTGGACATATACCCTATATAACCCATTACCGTAGTTTCCCTAATGTAACCCAAATATTACCAAACCCTAAACCCTAAACCCTATACCCCTAAACCCTAAACCCTAAACCCTAATGTAACCCAAATATTACCTGGGTTTGTTTATGATTCTCAAAAAGCTTTGTAACGGGCCTCAAGCTGTTTAGGGTTTAGGGTTTCCCGAAATTAGGGGTACCTGCTATAATGGAGAATCCAATGGAAAAGAACATGGAAAATGTGCAATGGAAACTGTGTTTATGTAGGGGATTATAGGGATCAGGGTTTACCAAAATTAGGGGTACCTTTTTGGGGGTCCCAATAATAAGGATTATAGTATTTGGGGGTCTATATTGAGGTCCCCTAATTTTAGGAAACTACCATATGCTGTTTGAGATTAGTTGTAAAAGATGCACCTCTTGAGTAAGATCCCTTTAACATGATTTGGCCTCACAATCCGGGGAAGGTTTTCGGGTACTCCCTGTAGCCTGTAGCCTGTATCTTTGGGAGTACATGGAAGCTTGACCATGCTTGACCTGATTCTCATCAATAGCCCTTCACCGGTTCGCTTCACATTCATTGGATCCAGGTGGGCATCTTCCTGACGGACTGGTCGGGTGCTCGGCCTTTCCCTGGCTTTGTTCTTGCATGGGGAAAAAAGGAACCAGGTGCCTTCCGCAGGTTGGGTTGTTGCAAGGTAAAAGGCAAATGCGAAGTAAGACCCTGTCGGGTGCAGTACAAACTCACTTGCACGAAACAGCTATTACAGCAAGAGCTTCTAGACGGGATCTCAGAGTTAGACGCACGTCGGTTGATAGCTGAAAGCCCCGGAACAATGATAGCCGCCTGCAGTGCAGTGGGTTGGACAGCAGAGTGCTGCTGTGTGAGGTCGGAAGTGAATTTCTGGGCGACGTTGCCTTGCTTTGACTCTCTGCTTCTGCTGCTTGTGGCAACCATTATGCGTGCCCTGACCGTAATTGCCATAGAGTCTGCGCTGGCAGATGAGCCCTACAGCGTGGATGCAGATGCTTGTTGCAAGGAGGAGGCTTTGCAAATCTTTGCAAGGTGAGGTGCCTTACCATTTTAAAGCTCCTGACCTCCAAGGAGATGTCGTGGTTGGGACTTGCCACCGGCTTTGGTGGTGTGGTTGGCGGTGTTCCTATGAACGCCACCTCTGCCATGACAGATCTGAACAAGGAAGGTGTGAAGGGAGACAGCTGGACAGCCCGGTGCACTGCCAGCATCATCACGGCACTCCACTTGCTGATGTGGGCATCAGGCTTCCCACTTGTCGATTACCTACCCCGCTTCCTTTTGGGCGGGCTCCTGATGCAGATGGGTGGAGGAATGATGCTCGATTGGGCGATCCTTGTCACGCGAAGACTGCAGTGGACTGGGACTGTGGTGGTTTGGGCCATGGTGAGCATCAGTGTGCTATCTGACATGACCCATGGCATTGCCCTTGGGCTGGTGCTTGCCCTGGGCTTTGTAAGCGTTCGCTTCACTAAGTTGGAGGTCTTGAAGTATCACGTCTCTGGCATTCACTTTAGGTCTGGTGCTGCATATTCCGATGTGCAGCGTGGCATCCTGAAGAAGTACGGGGACAGGACCCAAGTTGTAGGCCTCACGGGCTTCGTCTTCGAGGGCGTTGCCATAGCATTTGCGTCATACCTCAAGGAAGTTGTGAGGAGCACTGAGGAGCTGAAAACTTTGGTGATTGACTGCGCTGCCTGCCAGGGCTTGAACGACTCTGCGTGCTCGCATTTCCTCAAGGTGTGTATAAGTTCTTAAAGATGGGTTTCAAGGTTTAGAAGTTTCAGGATGCGGCGCCTGTTCTTCTGTATCTGCGGCTGTAAATACGGCTCGTTTGCACAGCCCAGGTGGCGCAGATGTGCGCTGCAAAAAGTGTGGCTTTGGTCTTCTGCAGCCTGAGCCCCTATGATGAGATGTTGTTGCTACTTGGGTCACAGGCAAGCACATGTTCTTGGGGTTTCTTTCAGCTCCCGTCGTAAGATGCACAGCTAGTTTTGCGGAGTACTGCCGGAGCCAAAAGGTTGAGCTGGAACTTGGAGCCTTATGGCTGCCGTGTGGTTCCCTCCGTGTCAGAAGCCTTGGAAGACGCAGAGCAGGACACGCTTCGTGACCTGCTGCAGCCGGTCACGCCCACCATTCGAGATCAAGCGCTGCAGCCAAAAGTTGAAGCTCTGGAGAAATGGCTTGGCAAGAGAGTGGTGAAGGAGCTGCTTGGCCTTGGAGAATTCTGCGCCTTCGAGCTGAATGAGGTGATCAGCGGTCAGGATGCCATTGTTGATGGTCTATTCATCGCCGTGCCCGGCTACTCGGATGTGCAGATCGAGGTGCAGACAGGGACCCAAAACAAGCCAGCGCGGCTGCTGCGAACGTCCCATGGAGCTGTTTGCCCTGCTGAGGACTAGTGGCCCAAAAGAAAGGGTGCTCATCTCGTTATGATAGCTGTAGCGCAATACTTGGACAGTCTTTTCCACCCCACCCGCTGCCATTCAGGAGCAGAGCCTTAATTGTGTTTTACCCAAGGGGACGGCAGAAGCACTGGGCCAGACAGTTGTTCATCTCGGCATTGTTGGAAGGAAGCTACCCAAACAGGTTTTTAGAACTTGCTTGCGCAGGCTCTCATTGGCAGCCACTGCCGTGGTCGCTGGGTGGCCGTGGATGAGTCTGTTGGCTTTTTAGTACGCCCCGTGCAAGCCTTGAAAGGCACTCATGCCTTCACTACTCTGTCTTCGATTGCTCTGCACCAGCAGATGCTTCAGACGGATCAGCTGTCTGCCATGTACACGCTGAGCAAAGGCGGTGGCTGGCGGGGTGTGACATTCGATGCCAATACGAGCAAGCGTCCTTGCAAGGCCTTGGAAGGATTTGGGCCCCGGCTGCGGACCAGCCACGCGAAGCGCAAGCAGTTTGCGCGGGTCGGCAGTCGCGCCACTGCTGCTGATTCCACGATGGATGTAGGGAATGCCGGGAAGGCGAGCCAGGCGCTGCCGGGAAGGCCCGTGGTCAACAGCGGTGTAGATGAGGAAATCCCCGTGGCTGCCGTCTTGGACTTCCAGCGTTTCGTCTCTTCCTCTGCGCGGCCAAGCCTGGACTCTGCACAGGCCGACGAGGTAATCGAAGAGGCTCAGAATGGCTCTCTTGCTGACAACGTAGTCTTCAACCGATACTCGGTAAGTGCAAACCTGCACCTCTTGAAGTCAATGTCGACGCTGAACGAGCTGGAGTTCGAGGAGGAGCAATCAAACTCAAGATAAAAGGCCGTGCCCATGCATGAAACTTGAAGCCAACCTTAAGATAGCTTTCTAGACAGTACTGGGCGCCCTAGAGTTTTCTGATAGTGGCAGCGGATGGTTGTGGATTCCGCAGTTCATTTGCAGGCCTCATGAATCACTGATAATTCAAAAGCCTGGACTTCATAGTTTGAGCCGGACTTTGGCCCTGCGCTGCGTATCAAGCCAATGATCCCCACATGCAGCGGAACACTGCAAAACCGGCTTGGGCTCCTACTGTAGTGTTGTCATGGCTATACAGTATTGCCTAGCTATGCCTAGCTGTTGAATGGCGTGTAGCTATGGGTACTAGAGGTACGACGCCTTCCTCTTCTGAGCACAGTCATCACTCATTTCTCTTGCTGCAGTACTCTACTTGCACTTCATGGCCTCATCATCTTTCGGGTGTTCCTTGGTAGGTCGCAAAGCCTTGGGCCCTCGATACATTGAGTTCCACCCGACGCTGCCCATTTGCTACGTTGCGACGGCCACAGTAATTTGGAGCTTCTCATTGCCCTGAGTAAGTAGATAGAGCATGGAAGAAGAACATGGAGAAAAGGAGTCTACCCAGTCGCGAGGGCTATTGAGCGGTCTGGCATTTATTGTCATGGTTATGGAAAAGGGGAGGTTCTGCACCAGTTGGATCGGAAGATAGGGGGTATACGGGGATCAATGGGGTTTCATAAATTTCCGAGCGAGTCGGGGGTGAGAAAGAAATGTACGACAAAGCTCAAGCCGACCACTGGCCTATAGAGCACCTAGGTCAATGAGTTAGCTTCCGACATCTCTGTCTTTGAGTTCGATCGCGAGGCTACAGAGGCCTGCGCAGTCTGTGTGCTGGGTCGGTTTTGGGGCTCAGGTTGCTTTGGGCGGAGGGGATTTCTGCCAAGCGTGCAGGAGGAATTCTGGTTTCTGATACCTCTTACAAGCTCCCTGGCTTCCGGGGCTTGAGCCGGAGTATGGCCTTGCTATGTGCGTTTACTGCTTCAAGACGCATCTATGAAGGCTATGTTGGATTAGATGCATCTGAGTTGCTTTAAAGTCGTTCACGGTGATTTGCATGATACTGTAGCGACTATTTCCCACAGATGCAGTCTCAGAAATATCCATGGTTATTTGCGCGAAAATTAGTGTGCTCGTTGCCCTGTCAGAATCCATCCGCCAGGTGCTGTTTTCCGCTTGTGCTGTGAAGCTTAAGTCCTGTTCCTGCTGGCCTAAAAGCACCCGCTACCTGTTTCCAGAATATGGCCAAAAACGATCTTGCATGACCGACACTGTATCAACATGTACAGGGGGATATCTAGTACCGGCCACGTTCCAGACCAGAGCTGCGAGGCTACTTCAGTGCCATGTTGCAGAGTTTGGCATGGCTGGCTGCATAGGAGTTGAATCTCTGCCCGAACCTCCTCACATCAGGATACTGCACGCCCTCTAACAAGAGCTGTGTTCGCCGGATATTCAATTTCCTGCCTGGAAACTTGCAACGAGTTGCAGGCCATTATTCGAGGCGGTCGTCAAGGTGCAAGCCAGGCGCGCCTTGAATCTGAACCTTCATTCCCCATGTTCGAGGATACTGGGGATCAACGCGGGCTTGAGAGGAGAATATACAGAACTCGTAGTCAGCCCCAAAGAAGCATGATTACAGTCATGCGATGCGCGTTCCACTTCTTATAGTGCTTTGTAGGAGCTACGCGCCAGTACTGCTGTGAAATGGTGCACCATACCCGTGTGAGTAGGTGAGTAGGAATCTGACTGTGGCATCAGGCGCAGCCGACCCTTCGCCTGGTTCAGCCGGAGCCTTGACTTTGCGACAGTGGGAGCGGCTCAAAGACCCCAAACAGGTCGGCTTTGTGGGTCCATCTTTGCACCCCTTCCCTTGCCAGAGCCAACTACAGGCCGGATGGGGATGCCGGTATCCTAGGTCAGTTCGGACCATTCCAGATGCGTTCCCCGGGGTCGCGGCCCAAGACTTCCACTCGGATCTTTCATCAATCGCGGCAATACTTCGCAGCACCAGCAGCAATCGTGACAAGAATCCTGGTTAGTCGTAGTCATCAAGGTGGTAGCAGCAGTAGCAGGAGGAGGGGGGCATAAGCAGGAAGAGGTGGAGGTAGTCGTATTCTTCCGGCTTGGCCACAGTCAGATTGGGTTTAGTGAATTTAGGAGTCTTGGCAAATCAAATTGCAAAGCAAAAGTCGGGCTACTCCACTCAAGCTGGACGGCACTGGTCAGGATTACAAGCCCCAACCCAAGCCAGCACTGCAGCCACATCGATGATCATCTTCTTTTTGTCCAAAACAACAGTATACTGGAGGGCGCCACGCGAAAACAACAAACTCCCAACATCTGCTGCTCTGGAGCAGCAACGGGAATGCCCCAAACCTCACACCACCCTTAAAGCCTGCTTACGGGTTCTTGGTAAGGAATAAGGGAATACAATCCCTGTATACAACACTTCCATATTCCCTACATAATCACTATATAATATATTCACACATTCCCTACTAAGCATCCTTAAAGCGTGTGAACCTTGAAGCTCAGCCAGGAAGCGAATACCTGCGGCCGCGTGGCCGTACACTCCTCCGGCAACTTCGTCCTCGTCTCGATGCTGGGCTGCGAATGAAGTACTTGTCAAATTGATTTCGGGTAGAGGATTTAAAATTTTAAACGTTTAGGATGTTGGTGGCTTTCCAAAAGGGAGGTCTCCCCTATAGAGACCTTCTGGATACGAGGAAGTATATGACTGTAGGCTTGAAGCTCCGGCCACCAAGGCTTGCAACTGTCCTGATACTGTAGATTTTTGTTTGGGGTGTTGAGGTCAGGTACTCGGAGTTGGGGTCTTGGATGTCATAAATCAAGAGATTATAACGTTGCAAGTTAAAACGAAGCGTTGGCAACTCCTCCGCTTGACGCCGAGGAACCGAGGGCACGACAGCATCACCGTTTTCAGAGCCTGGCGCCAAGTTGGCTTGTTTGATGAGAGAATCCGAGATCCCCACGCGGCAGACCCTACAGCACAGAATGCGCCAGACCTAAGCCGCAGTTCTGGTGGTGGCATCTCTTACCACGAAGGCAGAGCCGGCCCTTATGCATTGTTGTATGCAGTATAGGATGTTAATTACGTGATCTGCTTCGGAGACGAGCGCATGACATGCGGCGGAGCCGGGTGGTCAGGTGCACTACACGCACGGCCACAGGGGCTTGTTGTCCGTCGCCGTGACGCAGCCCATGTCTTAGAGTGAAGAACTACGCAAGGGGCATTCAGGAAAGATGCTAAAGACTGCCCTGACTTCTCAAAAAACAGCTGGCTTCCTTAACGGACATGCTTGCGTACTATGAAGAGGCGTTGAGCAACTTTCAAACTCCGGACTATGCCTGAATGCGCACAGCATGTGACCTGAGCAGCGGTTTTTTTTTACGCTTAATCAATTATGAATTCGTACGACGCTATCGTCTCCAATTCGTGTCCGAAAATGAGGTTTTCCTGTGCGCGCGGAAGGACGCGGAAGCTCCACGGAAGCGTTTCTTCGCGGAAGGCTTGCGGAAGCTCATGTTTTCAGCCACGCGAAAAATGCGATTGAAAATGGATGCTTCTTCTTGTATGTAGGCCCAG